AAGTATTTTAAAATCACTGCAACTCTTGCCATCCCATCAACAGGAAAGGCAACAGAAACAGTTGTGTGTGCACTAGTGATTGTGTTGTAAACTGAATACACAACAGTTCCTGACAACTTTCTGGTTGTCAGCAGGAGTCTTATCATTGAATGAAAGGTCTGGTAACCTCATCTCTAACTCTATGTACTGTTCCTGCTTGAATAATGATTTAAACAGTGAAGATCAGCACTGTCCTTCCTACATATCACAGCTGCATAAAGTATACATTTTATGCATATATAGTTATCACAACTCTCAACTCAAGTTTGGCCAAGCCATGAAATATCACCAACAAAATAAGTCTATATACAAGATATGCAGATGTTCAATTGTAAAGATGCCAAACGCACTACACATCAAATGTAAATTATACACTGAGGAACAGTTTGGTCATTTAGCTCTTCATGTCTGTTCTGCTATTCAATTAGATCATGGTTTCTTAACTCTAATTACTAGCCTCGGCACCTTTTTCTAACTAAAATATATTAGAAATTCCAGCTTTGAAATTTTCAACCAAACCTCAAGCCTGTGCAGTTTTTTAGGTGACAGACTTTCATGACACTTTGAGGGGTTGAAAATGCCAGCCCTAAATTGCAAAGTTTTACGATTCCCATGTTCTGGGCTTTCCCAGTCAGAGGAAATAGTTTGTATCTTCCCATTCAAATCCTTAGTCACCTTAAAATGTCTCAGTGAAATCACTTTCTAATCTTATAACCATGAGGGAACAATGCAACATGTTCTTCAAACGGAAGCTGTCAAACATAGAAAACCAAAGTCAATAAGCTTCCCTGACCACAGTAAACAGGATTTGATGGTTAGAACACATTTTCTGTAGAGATTATGATATATTCAAAAAAGTGCCAAAAATATTCTACATGAGAACACAGAACAGCAACAATTTTCTTCTCTCAGGGTAGACATCACAACAGGATAGAATCATGGAATTCTACAGCACCAAAAGAGCACATTCAGCCCATTATGTTATATCTACTGAGCTATTTAATTCAGACCAATGTTCCTTCTCAAGGGCCTGGAAGTTTCTCCTTTACAAACATTTGTCCAATTTCTGGACGACAGAAGAAACAAAAGTTAAAAAACATTTCAGATTAAGAAGTGTTAAAATTTGCTTACTGGTAAAGGTTTTTAACAGATTGTTCGCTGCTCGATGTAACTGCATACGACGGTCCCTCAAGCGTAAATAGCACGAAACTGCTTTCCCCTCTGCTGAAGCCTACTCGAGCTGGTAATTCTAAGTCAATGTTATTCGCCGATTTGGAACGTGTTCCATAAAATTGCAAGCCATCTTCAGGGTACAGCAGAATAGCATAGGAGCTGGATTCATCAGAAGCCAATATCACTTGGAAGGTGTTTTTCTGATAACGCAAAAAGCCATCAACAGATCATTCTACATGTAGGAATTTACAACATATGGATCAGCTATGGCTCAGTGTGAATACTCTGACCCGAGTCAGGTAGACATTGTTTCAATCTACACCCCAGCAACTTGATACATTTACTCCAGACCAATAACTCCAGACTCCAATGCATTGCTGGAGGTGCTGAATTTTGGAGGAGACATTAAATCAAAGAGTCAGAACGGATCCCATTGCAGTATTTCAAAGACCTGGGAGTTGTCACTGGTGTCCTGGTCAATTTATTCCATAATTAACACTCAAATCAGTGATCCAGTGATTACAATATTGCTTTTTGTAGGAGCTTCCACAAAAATCAAGAGAAACAGGGAGAAAATTACTTATTTTTCACCACCTGTTTTAAAGCCACACCTCCCAGCACCAATGCACAATGGCAGCAGTATGTACAGGATGCACTGCGACAACTCACCGAGAGTCCTTGGATAGTACCTTCTAAACCCAATATCTCTACCATTAAGAAGGACAAGGGCAGCAGATACACAGGAACAACGTCACCTGCATGTTCCGCTCCAACCCCCACATCAGGTTAACTAGGAACTATATCATTGACTCAGTGACAGGGAAGGAACAAAGTCTTTGAACTTCCTTCTCACATGGGCTGCAGCAGGTCAAAAAAGCTGCTCATCTCCACCTTCTCAAAGGCAATTAAAGATGGGAAATAAACATCATCCTAGCCAGTGACATCTACTACCACAGAATGAGTTTTACAGGCAAGAAGACAACAGGAGAAAGACAATAGGTGGAGTCAGTGATCGTTCCAAGCGTACATTTTGAACAAACCTTATGGATGACTATGTTGGGACAGTTTATAGCACTGTTTTCCAATATTTATCCCCAACATCCACCATCCCCCCCATCCCCGCACCCCCCCAAACCCCGTGACCCCATTTCATGGCTTGAAAATTGTCACAACATGTCTGTGAGAAGTGTCAGAGTGGGCATGCAGGGGAAGAGATCAAGGAGAGCAGGAGACAGGGAAGAAGGGCCTGAGTAAAGTGGAGGGGCTGCAGTGTAGAGCTATACAGCAACAATGGCTGTCTTTGAAGTCATGACTCAATAACTTCAGCTCCTAAACTCATCTGGGGTCCCGACCCCCATTTCCGAATCCCTGGTTTATTGTCTGAAATGGCAAAAATAATGAGAATCTCGGATTTAAAATACTCCTATTTTGTTTAATACAGGAGACCGATTTTAGTAATGTATAAAACGTATCAGCATTTACCTCACACCCCCAGAAAAAAAACCTACTACTGGGAAAAAATACTTTTTCATAATGTAGGACAATTGACATATTTGCACAGAACTGTCAACAGGTACATTATCCTAATTTGTCACACGCCAGTACCAAACAGGCTGATCAGTGCGGAAGGAAATGCAAGGCCCCGGATCAAAATCAGAAACTGCTGGAAAAACTCAGCAAGTCTGGCAGCATCTGTGGAGAGAAAGCAGAGTTAATGTTTCAGGTCCAGTGACCCTTCTTCAGAACTGATTGTAGCTAGGAAAAGGTTGGTGTATATGCTAGAGAAGGGGTGGGGGAGGAGGGGAAAAAAAAGTAAACGATAGATGGAAATAGAACCCTGACAGACAGAAAAACAGTTGAGCAGAGAAAGGAATGGGTAAAGGTCAGCCTGGGAGAATGAATAGCTCCCAATAGGTTGTTTGTGGCTTATGATGACAGGGCCTGGTGTGTCAGGGTTGGGATAAGGACGTGAGAGAAGGTGCCCAGTTCCTAAAATTATCCAAGTCGATATGGAGACCAGGAGGTTGCAGAGTCCCCAAGTGGAAGATGAGATGCTGTTCTTCCAGCTTGTGCGAAGCTTCAGTGGAGCACTGCAACAAGCCTGAGACAGAGATGTTGGCCAGGGAAAACAATGGTGTGTTGAGTGGCGAGTGACCGGAAGCTTGGGGTCAGTTCTGGAGACAGGATGTAGGTGTTCTGTAAAGCAATCGCCCAGTATGTGCTTCGTTTCACCAAAGTAGAAGAGACTACAGTGAGAACAGCAAATACAGCAGACTAGATTGATGAAGTGCAGGTTAATCGCTACTTCACAAGGCTGACTAGGCAGGGGAGGAAAATGTATCTGCTGGTGGCATCCCGCCGGAGGTGGCAGAAATGGCTGCTAACAATCCTTTGTATGGGAATGCTGGTGGGATGGTAGGTGAGGACAAGGGGGACCCTATCATTGTTGTGAGAGGGAGGACAGGGAGTGAGGACCGAAGTGCGGGAGGTGGGTCGGACACGGCTGAGGGCACTCTCAACCATGATGATGCGGAATCCACAGCTGAGGAAAAAGGTGGACATTTCAGAGGCCCCCTTGTCGAAGTTGGCATCATCGGAACAGATGCAAGGGAGATGGAGGAACTGGGAGGATGGAATAGACTCTTTACAGGAGTCAGGGTGTAAGGATGTACAGTCAAGGTAACTGTGGAAGTCAGTGGGATTGTAGTGGATATTGGTGGCCAGCCTGTCCCCAGAAATGGAAACAGAGATTTCAAGGAAGGGAAGGGAGGAGACAGAGATGGACCAGGTGAAGGTGAAAGCAGGGTGGAAATTAGAAGTGAAATTGATTAATTTTTCAAGTTCCAGATAAGAGAGGTAAGCAGTACCGATGATGACATCGATTTACTGGAGAAGGAGTTGTAGATGGAGGCCAGAATAGGATTGGAACAAGGAATGTTCCATGTACCCCACAAACAGACAGGCATACCTGGGGCCAATGAGAGGGCCCACGGCCACCCTTTGGACCTGATGAAAGCGAGAGGAGATAAAAGAGAAGTTGCTCAAAGTGAGGACGAAATTGGCCAGGCTGAGGAGAGTGGTGGTGGATGGGGACAATTCAGACCTTTTCTCCAGGAAGAAGTGGACAGCTTTTGACGAGTGGATAAGACTTTCCTGATGGAGGATGTAAGTGTAAAGGGATTAGACGTCAATGGTGAAGGGTAGGCAGCTGGAGCCCGTAAACTGGAAATTCTGAAACGGATGTAAATTGTTAGCAGAATCGCAGATGTAAGTGGGAAAAGACTGGATAGGCGAGAGAAAAAAATCAAGTCAAAGTAAGACGAGAGGTGTTTTGTGGAGCAGGAGCAGGCAGAAACAATGGGTCTGCCTGGGCAGACTTGTTGTGGATTTTAGGAAAGGGTTAGAAATGGGCTGTGCAAGATTAGGACACTATGAGCTTGGAGGCAGTGGGGGTGGAATGGGGGAGAAATTACTGGATGAAATGAGATTAGTGAGCATTGAGGGCACAATGGCCTGGTGTTTCATGGAAGGGTCATGGTCCAGAAGGAGCTGTTTGACAACTAGCGCTTTGCCTCCACAATGTAGAGGTCAGACCACCAGACACCACCCTTGTCAGCAGGCTTGATTACAAAGTCAGGGTTGGATTGGAGAGCACGGAGTGCAGTCAGTTCAGGGGGAGATAGGCTCAAATGGGTAAGGGGGCAGGGCAGAGAAATTGAGGTGACCATGTCACATTGATAGTTCGCGATGAGAGCAGGTTGAGAGCAGGTAAACAACCAGAGGGAAGGGTCCAAGTGGAGGGAGAGTGCTGGAGATGGACAAAGGGGTCTGTGGGACAGGAGAGGACAATTATCCAAATAAGGAGGTGAAGGCAATGGAAGGAGAGTTCAACATCATGTCGTGCCCAAAATTCATTGAGGTGGGGGCACAGAGGGATAAAACTGAGAGTTTTGCTGTGTACAGAAAGTTCAGCATTGGAGAGTGCAAGGTCAGAAAGAATAGTAAATACTTGACAAGAGATGGAGTTGGGAGAGGGGATGGAGTCAGAGGGAAGGGGCGGGAAGGAAGTTTTTAGAGGGGTGCGGGTATCTCTTGTGTTCCTTATTGCCTAAAAGGAAATGAAAATGTTAATTATCAGAATGTCGAGTTACCTAGAGGATGAAGTGGAACTAGGGAAGCAGGGCAGCTCTGAGCCAGTGTGAGGTGGTATTGATCAAGAGCGCGAGAATGGGCAAGAGAGTACGCGAAGCGGGCAAGAGGGCAGGCAAGAGGGGGTGAGAGGGGGCACGAGAGCGGGCAGGCGAGGGCACGATAGAAAGGGCACGAGAGAGAGCAAGAGCACGAGAGAGAACGCGAAAGCACGAGAACGCGAAAGCACGAGAGAACGTGACAGCGAATGCGAGCGAAAGCAAAAGCGAAAGAACGAGAGCGAGCAAAAGCACGAGAGCGAAAGCGCGAACGAGAGACAGCGAGAGAGCGAAAGCGCAAGAGCAAGCGCGAGACAGCGAGCATATGGCGACACATGGCACTGAGTGTGGATCTCAGCATCTGCTGTGAACAGCTGTCTGAGGAAAGTCTCAGGATTGTACACTAATTTGCTCCCCCTCTTTTGAAGAAGTCAATTTTATCAGTAGTTACAAAAGCAATGGTACAGTATTCCAAGTGATCTCTGCTTTACCATAATCCAAATTCTGAACATTAGGGGTTCACCTTAGTAATAGAAGGGAACTTGCTAAGGTGCAATGGTGACCTCGCCCAAATATCAGCACATACATACACCAGGAGCCAGTGGACATCCTCGAGGAATGTGCCATATCATTTTAACTTCCCCTCCCTAGCCTAGGGCATTTATTGCAAATGTGACCCTTTTCCTGGATCATTAGCTAACTCAGCAAATGACAGGATTTACTTCAAGTATGAAACCCAGTAAATAACTTCTCACTCTGACTTCCCAGTTATTTCACTCTAAGATAGCACCAACCTTATTACCTTATTCTGTGGTTGGTCTCCTCGTCTGAGCTCCTCATGAGCAGTCACATTGGTCCAAGTGGCAATGAAAACATTGCCTGGTTTGAAGTTTAGTTCAGTGAAGCCTTTGTTTATCATCAGTGCAGCACGGTGGAGGATTTGTGGTGACGAATCCTGCCTGTAGTAGATCTTCCCCACTTCATCAGAAGTGTCCAGATCAGCCAGAAATGCCGCAATTGCACCAAATCTTAGTGGGAAAGTATCGACATAATTCACTTCTCTCGGAGGTTTGCTGATGGTAATGATTCCGTTTGTGTTCACCTTAATACACACAACAGATAGCAGGTATGATTTTTAAAAATTAAATACATATAGGTTTTAAAATCCAAAGTAAAAACCAATTCTTTTTGTGCTCTACCAACCTAATCACAAGTGAGATCACAGGCACCAGAAACAAGAGATCACTCAGCCCTTCCATTCAGTACTGCCACTCAAATACAGTCTGACTGGTCTGTGTCTCAGGTCCACAATATCTCCTGATATCCGTTCACACACGCAAAAAAAAAATTACTCGCAGCTCTTGTAAATTTCCTGCTCACTCCTGTATATAGACCATTTCTGACAAAATATGTCCCAGCTTGGTACAACCTAATTTCATTTTTGAACAAGTTATCTCGAAGATTATGTCCCTAAGCCTGATCTCCTCCACGCCACTCACCCGCCTCCCCACCCCACCCCAAGAGAAAATAAACCCCGCCAATACACCCTCTTTAGAAACATCGCAATAAAAAAAACACTCGATCTTATGAACTACAGTGTGGGACACAGAAGGTCAGGCAGCATCAGAGGAGCAGGAAAGTCGACGTTTCGGGTTTACACCCTGCTCCGCTGGTGCTGCCTGACCTGTTGTGTTCCACACTATATCGGCTCTGACTCCAGCATCTGCAGTTCTTGCTATCTCCCGATTTTCCGAACTGCTGGACTGAAGGATACAGCCAGATTAAACCTGATTTTGTCCAATCACCTGCAATATTCACAGCAAACACACACAACAAAAAAACCCACTGGCGGGAGTCAAATTGCCTGACTTCAGTCTCGAGAAGAAACTTTCCACTCAAACAGGACCAACCGGCTGTTAAACCAGGTCAAGAAAACCAGATTGAAAAAGAAAACACACGAGACGCTGACGATCGAAGAAACACAGAAAATGTTGAAAATAAACAAATTCCTCCGCCGACCACCTAAAATGTGGTATGGTTTAGTTTCAGATGTGGGTCGTTCCCGATTCACTTAATTTTCTAGATGGCCATTTCAACATGTGCAGAACTGCTCGAATATACATCTGCCTTCACACAACTTAATCTGCTGTAGCATGAAAACTAAACCAACGAAGATTATGGTTGTTGTTAACCGAAAAGTCTTTGAAAGTTAACGGTTGAAATTCCAATTTAAATTAACATACTTATTAATCATTAGATGGTAGGAATAAATAGATTTTTTTCGCCCTCGCCCTGGAACCACTGACAAAACAAATATTAAAACATTTGATCAACAGTTTCTCACAGGAATAAAATCCTTCCTCCCGCTCCCCATAAAAAAAATTTCACCCCAGCAAATTTGGGAAGATGTTTGTTGTTAACTTTTCTCTGGATGACCAAGTTACCAGGTACTTACATAAAGGTTTTTAACAGTTCTGTCGAATAGATGCAGCGTTTGGGCCAAACTGACCGACTCCGAAGTGACATCGTCCCCGGGGGTCAGCAGCTTGTCCCCAGCGCCCTCCCCATGAGGGTAAAGCTCCCCTAAGGACAGACCGCTCACAGCAGCCGCCTGAAGCAGGAGGGCCAGCAACCACACACTCCCCATCCGCAACATGTCCACAATCCAGGCCGCTCCAGGACCCACTGTCTGCCCGCTCCCACTCCCCTCAGCAAGCAGCTCCAGGCCAGCCCCAGTAAATCAGTGCAACGCCCAATCACCAACACTCACTCGCCCAGCTCAGCCTGAACGACAGTTTAGCCCAGCCCAATCCAGCCCGCTTCCGCCTCAACCTCTCGGGAACCGCCTTTGGCTCATCGAAGACCCCACGTTCAGTTATTCTCAAACTCTAGTCTCTGGGACATACAATCTCACACTCACTCTGTCGTGCGTATAATCATATTAATTCAAATCATTCACAGACACATTTGCATTATTATATTTATTTTTAACCTGATTTATAAAGGTATTAGAACTTCAGAAGTCCACAAATATAATTTTATGTATCTTCTATACTGCCCTCCAGTTTAAAGAATAAACTAATATTCAGTTGAAACATACAACCAAGCAAACATAGTTTTAACTCTTTTCTCTCAAGCAGGAAGAGTGTCCTGCAGTCAGCATCACAGTGAAGAAGTCTAGGGAAAGTGAGCAAGCTGTGAGGTACTCAACTTTGTGCAGTGCCCAGTATCATAGTTTATGAGGTTTCACTGATGCGTGAGCATTTCCTAAAGTATGTCCGTTATGTTTTTACCCTCCTTATTGCAGATGCTCATGATGACAACAGTACCAAGCAGAAGATGTAAGGTGATCCACATAAAGGGATGTAAATAACACACAAACATCGTTATTGCAGTTTCAATCTGTGGGTGGTCAGCAAGCTTACCAATGAGATCTGGAGGCTGGCAAGGCAGTCCACTTTCTGCTGCCTTGTTTGTGTGTTGCATAGAACCTTTTGCCAAGTCCATCAGAAAGGATGCGAGCCTGAGAAGGGTAACTATTCCAGGCAGGGAGGCCTGCAGGTCAGAGCCTCCCTGTATGTGGATGACTTTGCTGTTTTCTGCTTGGATTTGCTGTCAGTGCGCAGACTCATGAGCAACTGCGACCAGTTCAAATTGGCTTCCGGAGCCAAGATAAACCAAGGCAAGCAGGAGGCCATGTTTTTAGGGAACTGGGCCAACTGATCCTCTACACCCTTCACTGCCCGGGAACAGATGATCTGAAGGTGCTGGGAATACAGTTCAGAGGGGCCAGAGCATACACCAAAACTTGGGAGCAGGGTATCATCAAGGTGAGGCAGAAAATGAGCAAAAGGGAGCACTGCTCTCATTCTGATGACCACCTTTGTGTGTGGCTGAATCAAACTGTTTGTAGATCTTCAGTGTGCAAACACCAAGTGTCACTATGTACTGATGATACCCACAGTATTGCAAAGGATGGGTCTGGCCATGTTGCTACGGAATGCTCCAAGTAATTGGACTATTGTGTGTCACCTGTCATTCATGGAAAAATTTGCAAAGTAAAACTCCTTTGACCACAAGTCCATCAGAAAGTGGTCAGCATGTAGTATCCTCAACATCCGGCAGGAAAAGGAGAGGGTTGATCCTATCAGGTTGTTCCCTGAGCAGACTGTCAAAGTCATTTGGCAGAATATTTCATCGCCAGAACTTTCCGACAAGCACCAAGACGTAGCTTGGCTGGTGGTGAGAAGGGCACTGCCCATCAGATCCTTCATTTATGCCCGGTCTTTGTTCACCATCTCATGCTGCTCTTGAAGCACTGCACTGGTGAAAGAACCTGTCACTCATCTCCTTATGGAATGTGCCTTTGTGAAGAAGGTCTGGAGACCAATGCAGTATTTTTTATGGAGGTTCATCCCAAGCAGTTCTGTGACACAGGGCTTTGTGGTGTACAGTCTGTTCCCAGAATACATACTGAGACAAACATTGACTGTGCCTGATGGACCATCAACTTGATCAAACTTGCTGGTCTTCCAGTATAGAGTTGACCTCAACCAAGTGTTGCAGCATGGCATATTCTAAGGGCCAGCACTATGTGCTGAGGGTTCAGAAAAGATTTACCAGGATGTTGCTGGGACTGGAGGGTTTGAATGATAAAGGTTGGCTGGATAGGCTAAGATTTTTTTCACTGGAGCAGAAGAGGTTGAGGGGTAACTTTATAGATGTTTATAAAATCATGGAGGGCATAGATATGATGAACAGCAAGGGTATTTTCCCCAGTGTGGGGGAGTTCAAAACTAGGGGACATATTTTTAAGGTGAGAGGCAAAAGTTTTACAAAGGACACAAGGGCAACAATTTTACGCAGAGAGTAGTTCATTTATGGAATGAACTGCAAGAGGAAGTAGTGGATGTAGCTACAGTTAGAACATTTAAAAGATATTTGGATAAGAACATGAATAGGAAAGGTTTGGTGGGATACGGGCTAAACGCAGGCAAGTGGGACATGTTTGGTTTGGAACATGGTTAGTGTGGACTAGTTGGACGGAAGGGTCAGTTTCTATGCTGTATGGCTCTTTGACTCTGTAACACGAAGGATGGTGACAGCTGCTACCAAGGCACAGTAGGCAAAGACATCGTCTAAGGTCTTTCTGACAAAGTATAATGAGGGTCCATTCAGTTCTTAGACTGTTCTTATTGCCTCAAAATGAATGTAAATAGTTTCTGCATGAGTAGAAAATATCTTTGTTTTGCAACTGCAAAGAAGCTCTCAGAAATGTTAAGTTCCAATTTTTTTTATCCTTTTCAGAACTGTTTTAGGATTTTTTGTGTGTGCTTATAGATAATTTTTATTTGAATTGATTTGATTTATTTATTGTCACGTGTACCTAATTACAGTGAAAAGCTTTGTTTACGAGCAATATGGACAAATCATAGTAAGCAAGGACATACAGATCATAGGGTGAAAAAAAAACTTACAGCATACAGGTTACATCGCACAGGGTATGCACTAGGCAAGATCAACATTATCAAGATCAGCATTATTTGAAGTTAGAGACTCCATTCATCAGTCTAATAACGACCAGGAAGAAGCTGTTCCAGAACCTGCTGGTGCATGTGTTCAAGTTTCTGTAACTTTTGCCTAATGGAAGAGGTTGTAGCAGAATGTTACCGGGGTGCGATGGGGCTTTGATGATGTTGGCAGCCTTTTACGTACCTTTTACAATGAGCTGTGAAATGGAGTCCATGGATGGAAGGTTGGCTTCTGTGATGGTCTGGGCTGTGCAGACAACCCTTTGTAGTTTCTTATGGTCCTGGATAGAGCAGTTGCCATATCAGGCCATTATATTTCAATGAATAAATTTATGTTTTGCAATAAAAATACGTAATGAACAGCACATCCTGCAGTTGCTATCACAGTGAAATACACTAGGAAGAGTATCCTGCATCGGTATCACGGTGAAGCAGACTGGGGAGAGTATGCTGCAGTCTACATTGCGGTGAAGCAGACTGGGGAGTATATCCTGCAAACGGTATCGCGGTGAAGCAGATGGGGGAGTGTATCCTGCAGTTGGTATCACGGTGAACCAGACTGGGGAGAGTATCCTGCAGTCGGTATCGCGGTGAAGCAGACTGGGGAGTGTATTCTGCAGTTGGTATCATGGTGAACCAGAATGGGGAGACTATCCTGCAGTTGGTATCGCGGTGAAGCAGACTGGGGAGTGTATTCTGCAGTTGGTATCATGGTGAAGCAGAATGGGGAGACTATCCTGCAGTCGGTATCGCGGTGAAGCAGACTGGGGAGTGTATCCTGCAATTGGTATCGTGGTGAAGCAGACTGGGGAGAGTATCCTGCAATCGGTATCGCGGTGAAGCAGACTGGGGA